CGTGGGTGTTTTTGACTAGTGTCCTTACCTCTATTCTATAAGTTCAAAATTAAGGACGACTAGTGGCAATTTGTCCTTTGTGCAGCTTTGCGCGAAAATTCTATAGTAAACAAACATTGGTTATAAGTCAAGTCACTGCTACAATAAAAGTGTATAAAAGTAAACTGACACTTTAATGAAACCGTCCTTCCTATTAGTTCTGTACATTATAACCACCGTGATAGGTGTACAGTTTAATGATTTTTTTTACCAAATTATAATACCAGTTTCGTTCCTGGAACGTTATCTTCTGACAGAGTGATTAACATAACGGTATTTTCGTAGTCATACTGGTCAGTTTGCCATAACACTCGGACATATGTTTCCTGGCGTTACGTTCGTCATAATTATAAACATCTTTATGCCAGTTTTTTTATTTTGGACCTCTGATCAAACTAAGCTAAACTATAAAAGTCAGAACTAAAACCATTTTAAAATAACTTGTACATTAATAAGAGACATTCTTGTATAACTATCTGACTAGGAACACGTAATCGTATAAATCAGGATACCAGAAAACAAAACTGTAATCATTGAATCATCAGCTGGGTATCTTATTGTTAACAATATTTTCAGTCGTAAATCTGGTAAGATCTCATTGAGTTGATCCAGTTTAGGAGATTTAAATTGTTTCTTTTTTGTTAAGCACAAAGCTACACAATGTGCTGTACCCATCACGGGTATCGAAACCTGGTTTTTAGAGTTATAAGCCTTCATACTTATCTCTGAGGGACTGGGGAGGGGGTAATTTTTTTCTTGATCCACAAGATAAACCAACATTGCAAATCATTTTTCTTAACTTAAACATTAACGCGAAAATTGTTAAAAATGATTTTAGATATTACAACTAATACGATTTAATAAAACTAACGATAAGGAAAATTGGAAAGACGAGTCGTCTGCATTAAGATTCATACAGCTGGCCAATATATATATAAACCATGTATTTGCAATAGTGCATATCCTGGTGGATGTTACAGAAATGGATAGAACTCATAAACAAATGCACACTATCCGGAGAATTATACAAATGTTCTATCTGTGATTCTTTGATTCTTATTTGGTGCATTTTAGTGCTCATAATTAGACCTTGGATTCCACTTCCGGGCTATTAGCTTTGTTTGTCTCTGGATTTTTAAGTCTTCCCCATATCAACCTGTTTGAATGTTTACAGCCATAACGCGAAGTTAATGTTCTTAGTGTTGGTTCGCCATGGTGTAATATTAAGGTGCTAGAGCCGCAAGCTGCGGCCGTGGGATAGAAATCCTTTACCGAATATGTTCGCCCTTTCAACCGTGGGAGCGTAACGGCCAATCCCACTATTCGTTGGCAAAGAGTAGCCCAAGAGTTGGTGGTGGGTGGTGTTGACTATCTGTCTTTCTCTAGTCTATCACTACAAAATTAGAGATGACTATCTCTTGAGTTGCTTTCCGCGAAATTAAATAACAACTTTCAGTACTAAGAACTTTTGGGTGAAAACGTAGACGTCGATGTCTTCTTAATGTTAGTACACTTGAATGATTATATTTAAGATACCATTTCAATCCCGATCTACTGCATTTCCTTTCAGTATATACAATTTGGACTTGGTTCTGGATTTTCCATACATTTTCCACGTTAGTGTATTTGAACGTCTACACTCACAATGTCATTATAATCCCAGTTTGTGGATTTTCTTTCGGTGTATGCAATGATAACTTGGTTCTGTGTTTTCTCATATCATCTCTATGCTAGTACATTGGGTAATCTGTACAGTTGCAACGGCAATTTGGTTATGGACCTTAAATTTCCTCTTCTTTTGAGTTATTCTCTATATAAACAGCTATAATGTCAAGTTCTGCTTTTAGGTGATCGTTGTGTTAGTATTTTAGTGTTTACTTCCTAAAGTTCCACAGTTAGCGTAATCAACGTTCACCGATAGGACTAATTCACAAATAATTCCATATCTAAACAGAAATTCCACTTACTTGCTAATTTAGTGTCTCTATATTTCTTTGAAACACAGACTAAATAATCAACGTCTTGAACTGACTAACAGTAACAGATAAACTGAATAAATGGTGTACTAATGACTTGTTAACTAACTAACAAACACATAATGTAATATATTGCCACTTCTTCGAGTGTCTAACCCCTAACGATGGCCCAACTTGTTTTTTATAGATGATCTCAATTGTTTTTCCTAACTTTGGAGAAAATTTCAAACATTAAACCCACGCCCATCACTTTGCGTTAAACTTTCTTCTGGCCAAATAACAATACAAATTTCTTGAAACTTCTATATTCAAAACCTAGGATCAAACATTACCAAATTCGTATACAAAAGAAAACCAAGTAAGCTTAAGAAGTATTTGAAAAACTAAATATTGTAGTCATACAGAAATTAAACCTACAAACTGCAGTCTATTACAAATGAAAGCTTAAAAAAGTTACTCAAAGAAAAAAGCTAACACAACTCAAATACTTCCTACTGAAAAACATGTAACATTATATACGAAAGTAAGTTATAAAATTCAAAATAAACCCTAATAAAATTTCGAAGAAAACTTAAAACTCAAAGACTATTTACAGAGAAAGGCTACAATTTTAGAGGATGTCTAAAAAATAAAACAACAGAACTCAACTTTTCTTTACACTGGACAATTTCCCAACCGAAGCCTCTCAAATTCTACTGTTTTCAGAAAACAAGAGCCAACCACGAAAGATTTACAATGATAAAAATCTATATGTTTAGAAAAAAACTTAATAAGGAGTTACTAAAAATGTATATCAATTATCAATTGGATGATTGATCTATTAAAAAATAAATTGCTTTATTCCCTCTGAAGGAGGGGTTAAAGGAGAGGATCTGCTTGGAGACGGCTTGAATGATGATGACAAAACCTTGTTGAAACGTTGTACATTCGTTGTTATATTAAGGTTTTTCTTCATTACCCATTGAAGACGTCTCCAAGCATTATTAGTCTCAAAGTGGGGTTCCTCGTCATCGAAATTAAAATTGACGTTTGTTGTGATACTAATTGTTGACAACAACTACGCAACAGATTCAAGTATTGTCAATGAAAGCTTTCGTCAGGAAAACCGCTACCAAGTTAGAAGAAAATTTCTGCAGTAATTAAATCAAAATTACCGCATAATATTCCACTACCTTCTGAAGTGCATTCATGGATAGAATACAAACTAAATTTAAATTTCATATACACATAATATGCTAGCTGTTCATTCGTTGGCTATGAAAAATTATAACTACATTTAATTACATTCACAAACTATCAAGTATTAATCACGATAGAAACTAAACCAATTTTAGTTAGTATTATAAAATTATACTAGTAAGTGATATTTTCTCTAGATAAACTTAATATAGTTGTCGATAGCTTGTTTTATACTACAAAGATACACAACAGGAGGCCCGGCATGGCCAGGTGGTTAGGGCGCTTGACTCGCAGTCTGCGGGTCGCGGTTTCGAATCCCCGTTACACCAAACATGCTCGCCCTCTCAGCCGTGGGGGCGTTATAATGTGACGGTCAATCCCACTATTCGTTGGTAAAAGAGTAGCCCAAGAGTTGGCGGTGGGTGGTGTTAACTAGCTGCCTTCCTTCTAGTCTTACACTGCTAAATTAGGGACGGCTAGCGCAGATAGCCCTCGTGTAGCTTTGCGCGAAATTCAAAACAAACAAACAAACACAACAGGATTTCTGAGTCCTGTCTACCACTGGAATCTAACCCCCGATTTTAGCACTTTAAGTCCGTAAGCTCATTGGTTTTCATCCAGGGGACATCCAGATGTCGATCATAGAATCTCGATGGCATTTCAAGTTATATTTGCTCTATAGAATTACAAACTAATAAGAAAACAGTAAACTGTGTTTCCTTTGTCAATATTTATTGCAATTTTGTCGAGCTGGTCTTCGATCTAAATAACTTATGCAATTGTTTGCAAAATAAATCTTGAAAATTTCCTGAGCTTTTCACTCTATTTTACGGCATTTCTGTAATTTGTTTACAATTCCATTCTTATCTTTATCATGAAGTTCGGCGGGAAGTTTATCAGAGCTTGAGTTCTTGTCAAGTAAACAACTGCCTTGTTCGAAATTATTTTGTAAACTTTCCAACTAAATTGAAATACTTACCTTAGCAGCTTCTGGAGAACGTGTTTTTAAATTAAGACACTTGTTATACAAATTAGACTGTAAAATTGATGTAAAGTTTATCATATATCAATATAGAAAGCTTAAGCATTAATATAAATATAAACTACAAAAAGCTTATATAATATTTTACAGTTACGTTACCGTTCAACTCTAAATTGAAAAAAGAACATTAGTTTAGTTTTAAAATATCTTTATGAAAATAAACATTCTAAAGCTACTATTCAGGAGTTTATAACTGTGACTTGCTTAATCTGAAACTGATTCAGAAAGGATAAACCAATTTAATTTTGACTTTTGAAAGTAAGGTAAAAGACTCGATTTCTTCACTTTAAGCTACCCAGATTCAAAATGCATTTTATTTGCCCTTTCCATTTCCAATTAACAATTTTCGGTAGATAATGGGTGAATGAACCTGTTGCTTGATATGTTGTAGCTTTCAAGTTGAGTTTATTCCAATAAAATGACTAAATATTCTATACGCCCTCCAGTGGCACAGCGGTATGTCTGCGGACTTTCAACGCTAGAATCCGGGTTTCGATACCCGTGGTGGGCAGAGCACAGATAGCCCATTGTGTAGCTTTGTGCTTAATTACAAAGAAAGAAAGAAAGAAAAGATATTCTATTGGCAAACCTTCCTACTATTCTATTTTTTACAACACCTTGTGTTCGAAAGATAACGTTTTTGATCACAGGCTAAAAACACGAATTCGTTTCCAAGATATTTTTACTTGAACAGGCCGTTGAGTTACGAAATAGCTTAGGCCTTGATATAAGCCTTCAGGGTTTTATAGAAGGTCTGGGCTTACCATGATAGGAGACGTGTCAGTGTTTGCCATGACAGGAGACGTCCGTGCAAATTTTCTGCGAATTCATCAGTCAAGGCTAGGAGGGAACTGCTTTATATACCCTGAAAGAGCATAGAAAGATAATCAGTGCAAAGTTTATATGTTCACTGTATTGATTCCAGAGATAACCTAAAGTTTCCCGTATCTGCCAGTGGGAGGTTGTTGCTTTTTCATTCTTTTTTTTTATATTTCTTTTGGACTGTCCAACATTTTTTGAAAAAAGGAAAGTCATTTTTCAATGTCTGGGCTGATTATTCGAGTACATAACTAACCACGTTTCGGTACGCACCCTACCGAGCATGCCTTTCACGAGATTTGGATCTCTAATGTTGATTCACGCCTAACTTCGCACCTCCTACTTTTATTTGAGGCTTTTCTTTCCCCCTTTTATTTAACTCTCCTCCACCTCCACCTTGGGTATCATTACTGAATACTCGAGACAAAACATATGTGTGGCGATAGCAAAATTATGATGAACTGTAGCAGATATAATTTATTATGATAGCACCAAAATCAATCTGAAAACTTTCCTAAAGCGACAACCCGAGTATATTGCTATGCAACCTGCTGTGTTCGTAGCTGAGTTATAGAAGATTCCCTCCTTCCTGACCAAATGCAACCAATGAGGAGCAGCCTTAGAATAGTTAATGCCACCAGCAGCGATACTATAGCCGCAGGTTAGCCTCCTGTCTCAGTGGTTGGTCTAGCAAGAGTGTGGACTTCAGTCCAAATGTATAGAATCACTATAGTTCAATCATGCACGAAGATCCATATATCACGAAACTTTTGCCGTCACTCTTTGCTTTAGGCGCTTTTGGCCAAAAATAAAGAGAAAGAAACATCCACAAGATGAGCAATTAATGACGTTTGTTGTCCTTTCAGAGGATAGCTTTTTTTTATTCCGGGATAATTCTATTTGATCGCAGGTGTGTGAGCTTTGGAAAAATAAAACGGACGGATGAAATTAAAGAACAATAGCTCTTGACGGCCAGTTTTGGCCCTATGGGCAAAGCCTTCAAGACTTTATTGTAGAATTAATTCTTAATCACAAGAGACGGAACTTCTAGCTACAGGTAATGGTAATGAAGAAATCCAGTTAGGGCTCCGGCCTTTGTTTGGATAATTTTTTTACAAAGATTTTAACCGTTTCTCAGAAGGTTTTTCATAGAGTGTTGGTTAAAAAAAAGAATTCTGATGGTACTGATACCAGTAAGAATAATTCAACTGGAACTATAACTAAGGGCTTTTTCTGTCATACAATTTATAAGAACTTATTTCAGAATAAAAATAATATGTTTACACTACGTTTTGCATTTTGCATTTTGTTTATATATGCATGATATTTCGCATATTCATGTTAAGAAAGTATGAATTTCTTTTAAATCTTAAATAAGGACTTAAACTCAGTGGCGATCATAATAGTTTTGTTGTTTGTAAAATACAGGACACTTAAGACACAAAAAATGTCTGGTAGTGAATAGCTAATATTATGAATGTGTCAATATATATATATATATATAACAGAGAGAAGACCTACTCGTTTCACAATCCAAAGATGATATAGTGCAACTGTATATAAAAGCCAAATAAGTAACCAGTACAGTGGAAGTTCGCAGTCGAATTTCTAAAACGAAAAAAAAAAAGATTATGACAAGATAAAAAAAGTTAAATTGATTCATTAGAGTAAAAACCCACCCTCCACAATACATTATGATTTGTCTGGAATATCCAAAAAAAGCTTAGAACTTTATAATGAGTAAAGACCTATATTTCGCCATAATTTGAAACTGGGCCTGAATAGAATTGTTCATAAGGAGTGTAGACCTAACTGGGCCTGGATAGAATTGTTCATAGCGAGTGTAGACCTAATTGGGCCTGGATAGAATTGTTCATAGCGAGTGTAGACCTAATTGGGCCTGTATAGAATTGTTCATAGCGAGTGTAGACCTAAGCTGGGTCTATATAGAATTGTTCATAGCGAATGTATACCTAACTGGGCCTGGATAGAATTGTTCATAGCGAGTATAGACCTATAGTCAACCCAAAGTTGCTTTTGTTTAGGACTAGAAAGAAGAAAGAAAATCTAAGAAACTTTTAACGAATAAAAATCTACATTTCATCCAATACTGTTATTGTGAATAGATAAAAAAAACTAAGGAATTATAGAGTGAAGCTCCACCTCTCACTCAAAATATTTATTGGGTATAGATACAAAACATTTTAAGCTTGTTGTGAATGAAAAATATAAATACTCAAAGTTACATTAGAGCTGGATAGGAAAGTTAAGGGACTAACAGCAAGGGGAGATTTATGTTCCACCCACAGTTGCGATTAGGATTAGATAAAACAAAAGCTAAAAACTGTGATAATGAATAAACAAAAAAGGTAAGGAACTTACAGTGAATAAAGCTATGCTTTACACTGTAGGCACGATTAGGACAGGATGAAAAAGTTGATAAACTTTCATCAAGTAAAAACCCACACTTCACTCAAATTTTTGGTCGGGAATTGCTGAGAAACTTAGAATAAGTTGAAACTAGAACTGGGTAGAAAAACTAAGGCCTGTCTGTCAGTTTGTTTTTAGAGCAAAAACCTACATTGAATCTTATGTTGTCATTAGGAGTGAAAAGAAAATACAAGAAACGTGTGACGATTGACGACCTACGTTATACTCAAAGTTGCGATTGGAAATAGAGATACTAGCAAGGTAAGTTACAACCTACATTCCAAACATACGGGAGCTAAAAGCTGAAGAGCTTACAGCAAGTAAAAATTTATATTTCTTCAGAAGTTGTGAGCAGGATTATATAAAAAAAAATTACTAGCTTTGTAGAAAATGTCTATGTATACACTCCACTTAATCCTGAGATTAGAACTAAATTATAAAATTAAGCAGATTAATGCAAATGAAGACTTATATTTGAACCATATTTGTGATTATCTTGAATGTAAAAAGTTAAGGTTCTAATACAGAGTGAACATCACACCTGCAGCTTGGAATTCACATTTCACGACTTGTCTATATATATAGAAATAACTAGCAAAACATAAGACATGTATTTTAGATCCAAAGTAAAGAATATGACTTGAGAGAAAGATTAAGGATAAAAGAAGGAATAAACACCATTACGCGACTAAAAATCCAAAATTGAGTTATAAATTAGATAAAGAGCTGACAAGTAAAATGATTTTGTCCAGAATCTAAAATTGAGATTTTGGTTATGTGAAAATAAAACGTGAATATTATCATTCCAGATGCAACATTTGAAATAAAGAGAAAACTGTCCTCAATTTATTTAAACAACCAAAATGTTAACTTTAGTTTTATGGAACATTTTTTATACCAAGTCTTAATCTCAACTTTGGCTCTAAAGTATATCTTTTACTCTTCTTAGTTCTTTAGGTAACCAGTAATGAAGAAATATTCTAGAACTGAAAGTGGACATCGTAGTAATACATAGAAGCTGTGCAACGTACAAAACAGTTAAAGAATAATTTATAATGATTGGTCTACGACAAGGTAAAACCACTCTCACAGAACAATGACAACCATCTTCTAGTTTTATTTGCAAGCAAATCACACAGCCATTATACGACCTATAATGCAAACGATTGATCATCCAGCTCACGACTAATAAATGAACATTTTGTTGAGGTGATTTTGGATCTTTACATTTTTGGTATTTAATTTCAATATCGAGTATGGTGACCACGAACAACAAAATCAGCTTGTCATCGATGCTGCATGTTTAAAACCAGAGTACTGATAATGTCCAGAGATATCGTGAACAACTCTGAAAAAGCTATTTCCAGAGAGTTTGGAATCAATTGATGGTACGTAAAGCGTCTCTCAAGAATATTGATGGGTTTGATGTCCAGCTATAGTGCAGGCCTCTCAATAAGGTAATCCCTTCTTTTTGATCTCCAGTTACCTTGGAGGCCTCTCAATACTCTAATTCCTCTTTCTTTGATATCCAGTTATCGTGCAGGCCTCTCAATATGGTAATCCCTTCTTTTTCCAAAAATAGGTCAACTATTTCATCACGTAGGCGTTAGGTGTTGTTATCCATTAAGTTTAAATTAGAAACAATTCAATTACCATGCATAAACATAAAGAATGTAGGGTGTGGTTTACTAGAATGTGGTACCGTGTCGTTGGTCTACTGAACGTGCTCTTGGAACCCTTACAGTCGAACTGTTTTTTGCCTTGCCGCGAATGGAATATACCTCATGGGGTAGCTCACATACAGACCGGCCTGGTGAAGTCTGTTGCTAACCGTCTGCATGCTAACATGGCGTCTAGCTGGAAGTGCAAGTGCCTGATTCAGTCTTGAAACAAGTATCTTGCTGTATGCTTGTTTTAAGGACAATGCTGTGCGTTTTCCGGGTGTCCGAGCAACTGTAATTTGATCTTGGAAGTCACTCCATTCTGCTTACCGACACTTTGAGATAGTTGTAATTAATTTGAAACAGCCTTCTGCGATTGACCAGCTTCTATTTGTCTGATGCTGCTCCAAACATCCAAGTGTTCTCCTTGTGCACTGTTCGTGGTTCATGAACAATATGGAACACATTGACGTTTGCGATTTACTTCAATAGATAACTGAGAGAAGATTGCGTATATATTATATATGTTAATTAACCAATCAACTGCATTTCAGGTCATAAGGCTAATCATCGGATTTGTATATAACAATAAACTGAAAGGGATAACTGACTATTATTAACAGCAGTTTTACCTTGTCATAGCTAGAATATTACAATTCATAGCATCATTTAATTACTATATTCACCGTATATATAGAACTGATAAAGTAATATTTATAGACTAAGGTACAAAATTAAGGTTGTATTTGAGTAGTTAAACAAACAACTTATGCGTAGTAAATACATAGATTTATACTTAGTAAAGACTGATTTATATGGAGTGAATACGTAGATTAGACACAAGAAATACGAGAATATACAGCTGCCCATAAGAAACCTAATCGACTAACAATGAATAAAACCTACGTTCCTGAACCCGACTGTCAGGTTGTGGCTTAATGAAAAAATAGGTAAAGAATAAACTGGGGTTAAGACTTACAAGAGCCCGGCATGGCCAGGTGGATAAGGCGCTCGACTCACAATCTGAGGGTCGCGGGTTCGAATCC